ACTCGTTAATCTCCAGATTACCTAGCTAATCTGCAGATTAACTAGCGTGATCCGTTAAAGTTGCTAAAATTGTTCTATTTCTCAAATTACCTAGGTAATGTGCAGATTATCTAGGTAATCTGCAAATTACCTACTAGGCACTCGGTAAAGTGAAAATAAGATCTTTGCTGAAACAACAGCAACGTTTCTGTACGCTTAAATTAACATAATGTTCTTTATTTAATTTTCGATATCTAAAGAATCAAGTTAATACAATCAAACAATCGACAAATTAGTTGATAGAATCAATCATCAACCAATTAAAAAACATACAAAAAATCAAACGATTTAAAATATTAATACAATTAGGGAAATTATTATATAGATAACCACCTATGGAATTTCGGGACTTTGAGTATCTATCTGAACTGAGGGGACCGAGACGACTTCAACGATACCCTACTTTTGGACCGGAGACGAAAAATAATAAAGTTATCATACTTTTTCTGGTGATCGCATGATATAATTGTGCAGTTAATGTTACCTATGGTGAGTAAAATGGCGGCTCGTCTCTGATTCCAGCAAACAGAAGAAAGGAAACAGTGGGGACGCACGTTCTGTCCTAACCTAACCTATTTTAATAAATTACCATAATTATTACCAACCAAATTATTAGAATAGGTTAGGTTAGGTTTGAACGTGCGTCCCCACTGTTTCCTTTCTTCTCTTTGCTGGAATCAGAGACGAGCCGCCATTTTACCCACCATAGGTAACATTATCCAATTGTGCAGTCTAAAGATTGGTGACACTTTGAATTTCATAGCAATTGGTTTCTGCGACAAGCACACCTATTTGTGGTACATTTATTTGTGGCAAAGATCTTATTTTCACTTTACCGAGTGCCTAGTAGGTAATGTGCGGATTACCTAGATACTCTGCACATTACCTAGATAATTTGAGAAATAGAACAATTTTCACAACTTTAACGGATCACGCTAGGTAATCTGCAGATTAACGAGTTTCCGAGCTTTAGCGGTAACATATATACTAACTGTACCCGGCCACGCATTGCTGTGGCTCAAAATGTATCTATTTTTATAATAGATACATTTAGATACATTAGATGCGGTTTTTTGCGTTTTTGATTGCGTTTTAATAGGGCACGTCAAGAGAATGCACACTAAGAAGGGATTTCTCGAATTTCCCTTCTTAGTGTGCATTCTCTTGACGTGCCCTATTAAAACGCAATCAAAAACGCAAAAACCGCATCTAAAATAGTATAATAGATGCCAAGTTGTTCACGGTCAGACTTAAATTTGCCCCTCTTTCCCGCGGAGGGGGGAATTTCGACATCTATATAATATAAAAACATGCGCGTATTTGAATGCAACGTTGTGTCAAAATTTCAAAGCAATTGGTTAAGAATTTTCGGAGAATTAAGATTTTGAACAAACGAACATTTATTAATACATTTTTATTTATATAGATTTATACATAATATTTTTATAACATTTAGGCTTTTGGGAGAATTAAATTGATAAACTATTATTAACAAAAAAATTATTGAACGGATATGAATTATAAGATGATTAAGAAATACCTAAAAAAATTTAATTATTAAGTATAGACAAAAATCGTTTGATACTTTCACAATAATCAGCAACATTTTAAAACGAAGTACTGTATATGTAGATAATTGTGTTACATTTCTTTCTTTTGAGGATCAAAGTTACATTTCATTAATTTGTAAATTATTTAAAATTGTATGTATAGGTTCAACATTCGTTTTTTAATATTTAAACATGGCGTAAAATACGTTGATTGTGATATATTTCTTATATAACAACTAAAGAAAGTCCATTTAAAGAGTTTCTTAATATTTGTTTACATCAAGCTTCAAGTTGAATTTCTTAGAGGACGCAAAACGGCTTTCTATTTCATTTTTCAAGTGTAAAATATTATTTAGATTAAATTGAATAGAGAAATTAACTAATTTATTTGGTTTGGTGGAAGAAAACAAAGCGACATGTTGGAAAAATACCAAAGAGCCTTCTTTTTATATAAAACTGGCCATCTCACTGGTGTTAAACACATATAAGAAAACCCAGCAGAAAATGTCGCTCAATGTGGTCTGTTAATTTTGGTGTGTTTCCCAACAAGAAAGTTAGTCAACATTGCTTTTTTTCAAAGTTGAAAAACACAACTTGTTGCTAAGAACAATCAAGTAGCAAAGGTCTCGAATGGAAGCGGCCATTACGTTTGGAAATGCTGTATCACGTGAGTACTTTCTGGAAAAATCCAGAAAGTAGTCACATGATACAGAATTTCCAATGTCGCTTAGTGCTCGCTCTTTCCACAAACACTGTCCACACTAATAACGCTTCGCTTAAACTCGATCAGCACTTTAAAGATTCAAGCATCAACTGCTAGTTAGTATTCAGTGGTTTGTCTATCAATCATCACTCGATGATTCGTGAGCAAAACTACTAACTGAAGTTAGTAATAACATTAATTAGAATAACAATAAAACGAAGAAGGAGAGGATCCAATTTCTGGAATGCTAACTAAAAATTTCACAAACACTTAAATATCTGCTTTTATTTCATTATTAATTTAAGAGCAAGTAGATAGATACGAAAGAAAAACAATTCGTGTTGGACCAGTCAAACAGTAAAACATTTATTTTTAAAAATCCGATTAATCAAAACATAAAACTGATAAAAAAAAACGTAGACCGTTAGTTGATTTCCGCAATTATACTTTGTATTATTTAGAACATTATCTTAAAAAAAAAATAGTTAATATCCATACTTTGGTTATAGAATAACATCGCAGATGAGATAATTAATAGAATATTAAAAATAAAATTTAAATTCTCGTATAAACTAGTAAGTCTAGATATAATTTCAATGTATCCCAATATAAAATGGAAAATGCTAGAAGAAAATCTAAAAGTAATAGATTGTAATTTCTAGAAAATTATGTATATTTAAGAAAATTTAATTGAGAATAGCCGGTCATTATCAAACTATAGCCGTTAAAAATAATGATAATTTAATTAATTTAAATAACGGGATGATAATAGATGATGTTTGTAATGACATCGTATATAAGAATAAAAAGATGTTACGTGATGCAGGATGATTGTGATTTATTCTGATTTGATGATTTATTTTGTGATTTATTCTGACTGTGATTTATCTGTGATTTATTCAAAGATTACGGGTTGTTGGTGTTTGTTCTATTGCGGATTGTATTTATTGTGAGTTATTTTTATTGATGTTATATCTTTATTGTAAATTTATAAAACAATTTTATAATTGCAGACTGCAGAGGGATCGCCAAAATATTTTGATCCGAAATGCACATAAATTAAACATTTGTAAATTAATTTTCTGAGTAATTCATTGAACTCCGGTAAAAGTCGGATCTGAAGGACATAATTATGAGTTCTTATTCGTTCAAAAGAACCCTTTAAGTGGATAGAAAAGTAACCGATTACATCCGGCTAATATAGCTAATTATAGCGTCTTATTAAAATTATTCTCTTACAATAAAAGTCTACTAAAAATGCTTTTATCATTTTATGCAAAATCATAACAAATCTGCACGAGATATTACTTTAATAAATAGATTATTGATCGGATTAAATTGAAGTTATATTATTTCCTTTACTTAGCTAATGGAATTTTAAGTAGATTGAAAGATTATGGAACATTTCTGAAATTTTTATTGTATATGCTTTCATGCAAATTCAATTATATAAGATAGCTTTTAATTAATATAACTAAGAGATTATTATGTTTGTAAACTAATGAGTAATAATTTATATAATTAGTATGTCCAGTAAATTGTGCCTATACCGTTAATAACGCTATAGAGTTTCTTAGTCTATTCCTTTCTAAGTACATATATCATGTGTATAGTACGTACAAAAGAAAAGTAGAACTGCAATATATAAAAAATCACTTCTTACAAAGTTATATCTAATTGTATTTCTATAAATATAAATTGTTACGCGTAACACTCTTATGCGTAATATAATACGATTGATCGCACGAAACAACTAAAATTAAGAAAGAAAGCGATTTATTTTCAATAGAGAAACAAGTGAACATGGACGATATTCAATGCGTCGAATGCAATCTGATGTCCATACAAACAACTCAATACATCTGTTTTCGTTGTTGCATCAAAAGAACTCGAAGATTCATTCAAGTTTTCTATCCTGTTAATAAAGAAAGTAAATTCTTATTTGTCAAATCTTTTTTTACTTGGATCATTGTTGCTGATATTGTAATTTCATTATTGCGAATTCTACATGGAACATATAAATTCGACGACGGTAAAACATTCTTTATTATAATTAGTGATAATATATATTTAATAATGCGTATGTTTTTCTCTTTTCTTGCATTATGCTCTTCACTTATATATAATTACAAGGATGGTTTCAATAAACTTGAAGAAGGTATAACTAACGTCATGCAAAAAACCGCCTATTCTCATAATTCTTCATTTAATTCTAAACTTAGAATTATTAGAAAAATAGAATTTCATTTTGTCTACGTATTTTCTAGTCAAACGATAATAGGAATAACTATAGGTGTCATAGTAGGATATTTCCAAAATCTGTACCTGATGTTTCATCCTGATTCTATTATTTATAAAGTGCTGTTCTTAGGTGAAATTGTATACCTAAGTTGGGTAGCTATAATTAACCAAATTAGTATGTTCTATTATGTAATCGTAACTATTCTAATAAAATGCAAATTAGACGATGCTGTCAGACAATTTGAATTCGTGTTCAATCGTATTGAAGAGATTCGTCTATTGAAGTCCATACAACTGTATCACTTGAGAGTTCTTCAGATGATCGAAATTGCCGATCATTTCTTTCAGTTACATATTTTCTGTATATACGTCATCATGATTCCATTAATATTTTTTCTCTCCTGCAATATATTCGATGATAAACATACAAGTTTCAACCTAATAGCTTATTTATATCTTTTTGTTTGTTGCACGATGCTTATAACAGTAACATTAACAGCTGCAATTCTACCATCTCACGTAAGTGTTTATATTTCATACTTTACAACTGAATATGGGGGAAAAAGCTTTAATTAATTTTAATTTCTATTTTATAATTATAGGTAGACCATTTACGAGATATCTTGAGTGAAAACTTGGATTACACAATTCCAGAACGTCAGATGTTTCAGGTATTTTTATATGTTTTATATTGCTGGTATAATGAAAAAAATGTAATCAATATGTTTATTAAGATTACAGTCATGATGGAAAGGCTGACAGGTCCCTCAATTGGTTATAGTTGTTGTTCAATATTTGTAGTTTCTTTACATACGCTAAGAGATGTAAGTAAGGTTTTAATTTTTACATTAATAATTTAAAAAAAAACTATAGTATTGGAATTTTATTTTAATAGATACATAATCAAACGATTGTCTTAAATAATTCGGCTATAAATCCGCTAATTTTGTGATTAATACTAAGTAATTTGGCATTAGAGGTAGATGATAGGCGCCATCTCTTGTCAAAATTAATTATTATAATTTTAATAATTTATTAAATAATTTAGAAGAAACAAACTGGCGCGGGGCAAGGTTTCAATCGTCTTTTCTTCCAGATAATTCTTAATTATTTAATAAATTATATTATCTAAATATATAAAATTACTTGTCCTGACTGACTGACTGAGTGATTGATTCATCATCGCCCAGAGTAAACCGCTGAACCTAAAGAGGTGAAATTTTGTACACAGTTAGGGTACTTCATGATAATGCACACTAAGGAGGGATTTTTGGAAATTTCCCTCGCGGGGGGAGAGGGAGAGCATTAAGGCTTAGCCGGAAGAACGACTTCTACTGTACTATTTTAGATTCGATTTTTTGTTTTCTACTACTAGTTTAGTTTTCATTGAATACCTGGGTCTATTGATAACATTTCAGACATTGTTATAAATATTTTTATATATTTCGATTTTTTAACCAAATGTTCGAACCGTTTTAAATTCGAATTTGTTATTGCATATTAGTTCGATTACAGAACTATTGTAAACGTTCCAGAAAATTGATCAAATTGAAAACAGTTCGTTTGATTCTCAGCAATTCCCATCATTCTCAGCGATAGGTGTTATATAGCAATTACTATGATTTTTGAAATACTGAATATAAAAGGGGTTTGCTTGCAAAACTCCCGCGGGCGAAAGTCGCGGATAACAGCTAGTAATTAACAATATTTAAATTAACTAATTTAATATTTAAAATTATTTAAATCAATAATAAATTAAATTTATAATTATTAATTTAAATTTGAGATGGCGCCTAACGTCTATCACTAGTATTGATATTAATCATAGAATTAGCGGATTTATAGCCCAATTATGTAAGGCGATCCTTTGGTTATGTATATATATATTCGGTATAGGCTTCAGTGTTTTAATTTTTTAAAGTGCATTACAAAATTACGTACATTAATATTTATATATAAAAGTCCATAATTTGCACGCGATTAGCTTGCAAGACATCATAAAGTATAGTATACATCATGAGATTTATTATAAATAAATTAGAAATTTTAAGTCTTTTTTCAATATTTTCCAGATTGCGAGTGGAATACTGACTTACGTCTTGATGTATTTACAAATGATGCAGAAGAGAAAATAGAAATATGGCAACTAGAATAATGTTTATTATTCAATTCTATCAAATTTTTATAATTTTTATTCTACTTTTTATTTAGTTATTTTTTGAAAGCTGAATTTTTCTACAAAAATATATAATAAAATTCTATTTGGAATCGAGTAAAAAATTTCAGAAATTGAAATCATAAAAGAGTTAAGATTCGTAATCCTGGACTATAGAGCGAAAAATCGCCCCATGGTCGAGGATTCCTGGTCTGTATTGAATCAATACTGTATTCTACAATATATTTGTGAAAAACCTAAAAATTTTTAAAAAATAAAAATTTATTGACGTAATTATTTACCACCAAGCTTTAATCCCCCTGAAAAATTTTTGTGGGTGCCCATAATTCCAACTCTTGCATTGTATAATCTTTTGAATTAAAGCCATTTGAAAGTAAAACACATTGTCTTTATGATTCACTCATGACAGGTTATAGCATAAACAGTTGAAAGGAGTAATTGTTGGACTGCACAATAGCGAAAACTTGATTCTGTTTTACTTTAGTTTTCGTTTCATCTAAGCACGGATTAAAGTTGGCACGTTCTAGTATTAAAATAATAAATTAACGTGATAATTAATAAATAATGCAATTATTTTTCTTATAATAAATACAAAGTAGACAACATTAGAAGATTATAGACAACAAAAGACTAGAATGAGTCAACCTGAGCTGGAGGGGGGGTCTATGTCAGATAAAAAAAAATGGTTGGAAGGATATGTGTGTGTTGGCACATGGATCACAGTAATATAATTTGTTAAAAGAAAATAAAACAATAAAATTATTTATGATAAAAGGTAGAGCCCGTCTCAAAATAAACTGTCAAAATATGTTTCATTGAGGCTAATTGGAAAAAATATGAACCTCCAGGATTCTTGATTTGGGCATAAGAAAAACATAATACCTGTGAAAGTGAAAGTAAGCATAAGAAAATAATACTCTACCAGCTGTAATGAATTTTTCAGTAAAAACTTGAAAAACTGCACTAAACTTTTACATTCCAGCTGTGACCAAACATATGATAATTAATCATCTTTTGACCCTGGATTTATTTACATTTATCCATACTGTGGCAATTCATGATTCCCAAATATGTAAATCTTACAAAAATCTTGTATGTATCTGTGTCTGTATGAGAGTATATGTTTTAGATTATATTACAGGACTGGATAATTCAAATATTTCAAACTTGATAGTCATTTCTGAATATGGTCATGGATGCAATTGATGAAATTTGGTAATTGAAGAGGGTACCGTTATACAAGAGGATCGTGCGACATATCTCGAATCGCGACACACTTAATAAAAATTTTACTCATTATTGGGCTGCAATTTGAAATAAATGTAGACCTATAAATTCCCACTGTCATCCGTGTGTCTGTTTATCTGTCTTTCCTCAATCTCGAGAACAGAATCAAAGAGATGAATGTGATTTTATTTTGTGGATCCTTTCACTCACTTTTCATTGTAGTATCATCTCTTTTTGGTATTATCAATGTCCATGTCCAATGCACAAATTTGTGCCGTTCGGTCCGAGTGAACTAACAGATGTGTCATGCCACCCTTGAAAGTAAGCGAATCTGGAGGAATGTACAATCATAACCTCCAACATTTATTTAATGTTGAAAGAATAAAAAATAATAAAAAAATTTTATTGCGAAGAGTTTATAATTTAAAATTTTTATATAAAATTTAAGCGTTATTCTTTGAAAAATTCCTATCTAGTCCGGGCTCTCACACAATTATTTAAGTAAATATAAAGAGTCATATGAAAATTTCGAAATTTTAATTATGCAGACTTTACACGTTTACAAAGAAATTAGGAAATCGCGCGACTTTGTCGTATCGCGATAGAACTGAGGTAGAGCCAGAAAGAAAGAACCAATATTTGCACTTGTTATGTACATAAGAGGCTTTCCTCATACATGCTGACAAGTAGAAACGATCCAAGAACGAAACAATAGGTGAAGATTGCATTGTTCTTGTGTTTCTTTCATTTTTCGCATAATTTTTTTTTCGTTAGGCGCACGCAAAGTTAGTTTTATTGTTGACCTGTAGGCCTACATTCTGTTAGGAGAGCTCATTCTGATTAGACAGCACGGTCAGTTAACCCCTCTGTATATCGAAAACGAATTCACGGATTCCTATTTCTTACATTTAAATGGACCATCATTACATTTTTGGATTCCTCATCGCAATCAATTAATGGAAAATAGCAAAGTTTAATGAAAATCATCGATCAAATTTTTTGAACAAACACGTTTCTGTAAGCCACACATAAGAAGTTCCGCCTCAATAAACTGTAACAATTTCATATCAAATATTTTTATTAATAAAATATATTACAGTGTTAACATATGCCGACTTAATAAGTATTAATAAATCCAAGCAAATAATTTTTCTGTTGCATTTATAACATTTTTGTATACTTGATATTTATATACAATATTACAGAGACAAAAATTAAAAAGTTCTTCTATTCACTATATTCATTGCTACTTTCTGAAAGTATTTAAATAGAATTAATTGCTCTTATTCGGGTAATTTCAGTGGCAATATTTGTTCTTATTTGTGTACAGAAAGTTAAAAAAAGTGTAAATAAAGTGTAATTTGCAGATGTGTGCAATCTAATTGGCATTTCTTTTTTTCCGCTTTTGTTCCATTTGTAGATACATCAAAATGTAAGTTAACATTCCACTTACTATCTGAATAATATAAAAATAAAATATACAAAATTGAATTTTCTACTTATCTAGTAAAAATTTTATTTTCTTTTACTTAACTTTTATATATAAATTTGTTCACTTACTTTCGTTAGAGTATCATCAGAAACAACGAAAATTCCCCAACAGGTATACCCAATTTTAGGTCCATCTAACCTCTGAAGCAAAACGTTTATCTGTAAAAAATTCCATAAATGTATATTTATCTGTATAAAATATATTAACATATGCAGTTTACCTGAAACATCTGGCGTTCTGGAATTGCAATATTCAAGTTTCTATTTAGAATATTTCGTAAACGATTTGTCTAAAACAAGTAAAGAAAATCTTGCAATTCTTACGTCTAGAAGCAATTCTTGTTAACTCTCTTATATTTTCAAGAAGTGCAGTTAGATATTAAATAAATAAAGAAATTTTTAAACAAAAATTCCTTTATATATTTAATTTTTGTTGTTTATCTGTATAAGTAGATTTATAATGGAAAAATTGAAAAGAACTACTTACATGAGAAGATAACCGTCCAGCAACTAACGAGATTAAGACAAGGATTAAGCAACATATGCTAATTTGAAAATAAGTCATATTGTTTAAATTTGTATTATCTTCGTCAAACACGTTGCAAAGAAGGAAAAATATTGATGGAATCATTACAAAATATATGCAAAATATATAGAATTGAAAGAACTCGTCTGCAACTTCAATCATTTGCAGGATCCTAGTATGATGTCTCTGTATTGATTTGAATAAACGAATTTCTTCTAAGCTATTAATGATATATTCAAATTGTCGAATTGCCTCGTTCATTTTAAATTTTATTATCATAGATACGAAAATATAATAATAAATTCCGCATATAATAGTCATCACAATCCAGTTTACATACAGTATGTCA